AGCCGAAAAAGCACATCAGATGTCTAACAGCAACTGTGTCTTACAACACAGGCATTCTTTCCTGCCACAGTTCAGTGTTTGATAAATTGCAGAGCTATCCATCTCGCAGCACATTAACGTCTGATACACACATCTGAGTAACTCACATGGATCTTATACACACTGGACTCAGAACCTGGCCAACTACAACCACACTTAAACACCGTTGCAGCTAGCAAGGTTCTAACAATGCTTCTCTGACCAGGGAGGACAGTAATTCTTCTCTTGAGAAATGTGCTAGCCAAACCATTTTTAGGCTAGATTCCCCAAGCATGGTTCTAACACATCACTCTCACCAAAAAGCCCTCTCCTCACTATCAGGGAAGCTGCGTTAGAGTCTTGCTAGCACCAGCAGTGTTTAAACAGGATCTGGTCTTGCTTTTGTGGAGGGAACCATGCCATGACACAGAGCTGTGTTACAGACATGCACAGACCAGGGCCAGGTCCTCCACCACAATAAAGTTCCTTTACACTGCTCAAAACAGCTCTAAAGTCACCATAACCAGCCTCTTGAGGATTCCCATTGTGAAGGGGGATCTTTGGGTGATGTAGAGCATGAGGTGGGGAGCCAAGGAGAAGGGACATGGCCTATACATCCCTATGTCACTATCCTGTCAACGAGAACAGCTTCTTGATGGCATGGGCATTTAGTGTAGAATGGCCCTCCTGCTGCTCTGATATGTGCCAGGAGCTAGCCTGGCAGCTGGCTGATGCCAAGATTAAATGTGGCTTAAAGTCACTTTTGCACTGGCCTTGCTGCGAACAGCTCAGGATTTGGGTCCAGGGCTTTAGCTTTATTCCATAATATGTGGTTACATGGCTTGGTCTCCTCCACAGAGTCAAAGCTGTTTGAACGTGGCCAGGGCACTACAATGTTATAACACAGGGAAATCTGTAGCAGAGGTGGGAATCCATATGGTTCTAGACAGGCAACCCATTACACGGTGCAGCTAATTCACAGGCCAAGACTGGGATGATTCTTCCTTTCATTATACTAGGCCTGCCTGGGGAGAGGAACCTCTTCCAGATATTTGCTATCAGTACAAGCAGTCAGACAGTATGGTGTTAGTTACTGCTGTGCTGTTCTTATCAGTGCCCTACATAACTGGCCTTTGGCTGCTCCTGCTGGATCACTTGCTGGGATGCTCCTGTGCTTTTGGTAGCTGTACAGGTTGCTCCTTTCTGGGATCTCTCCCTTGGTCACTTGTGCCAGGGAACTGGCTGCTCCTGCTATCCAAACTCTTTGCGTTGTCCCTGGCATTATCCTTTGGTTTTCATTGCACAGAATGGATTAGCATCATGCAACACATCAGTTTGCATTAATGCTCTTGTCCACCACATACCTGCCATGATCTGATTTTCACTGGGTCTCCCAGAGTGCTTATCAAGTTTGGCTCCCTGGTGTGCGGGACATCGTGTTCCTCCAGTTTCTTTAGCCAGTCTTCACATAGTGCTGTGCGGTATTGGCCCTGCCAAGGGAAGCAACGTTCCATCAGCTAGACACTAGTGTGAACTATGCATTGGCGTGATTTGCTTTTAAAATCAACCCTCTGACTGCTGTTCATGTTCAAATCCAGCTCCATGGCTCAGCCTAACCTCTTTAACAGACCAGGGGGAAACTTGAGGTCCATTTGCCTGGTTGCTGCACGCGTGCTCCATGGCACAGCCTCTACAGGGTTTAGACTTGCTGGTGACATCCTTCAAATTGCATCAGAAATCTTCCCTCTTTAAGGGCCAAACATAGAGAATATGGTTTTGGGAACCCCACAGGCGGTCTGATTACTAGCTGAATTGGATAACTGTAGTGAGCCTGACAGTTCTTGGGCACCAGACCGAGTTCTGTGCTGTAACACTAGCACAAACTCTTCAACTTCAATGCAACTGCCTTGGCATCATTGAGAGCTGAATTTGTCCCAGTGATCTGCTTTTCCCTTCAGCTTTTGGAAGCTGATCTACCAACAAAGAAGAGAGGCTGAATTCTAGACCCTGGGATTAAGAGAGGTGGAAAGCTGTACTCAGCTCCTTCAAAGAAAGAGCTCCTGTTATCTGCTTACTGTGAAAGGGCCCAGGTATGCCACGAAGCCAGCTGAAATCAGCACATCTCCTGCGATATTGTTGATCATATAATCCAGGTTCTGGACTGTGTCCTGCCAGCGCACCTTCTCATCTGCCAGGCCATTAATTAACTGGAATAACCACACACATCAGATCACCAGCCAGCTTTCTCATAGCACATTCCTATGGCCCACATCCCTACGAGGGGTGCCCTAGCTGTGCCACAGCTCCAACGACTCTTTTAAACTATGATCAGCCACAATGGCCCCCCAGGCACTGCATATCGCCAGGGCTTAGTGACGCTCTCGTCATGCCCCTGGCCTATCTCAGGCACACCCTCCACACTGGGGCTGGGACGGGAGTGGGGGAAGACAGCTTTGTCACCCAGGGATTCTCCCACACCAGAGCAATCGGCAGCTGGGTGTTTAAACCAGCTTCCTAACTCCTTTGTGTTGTCACAGTTGGGGCCAGGATCTGGCCCAGTGGGTCTATCCTGTTACTGGTATGAGCTGTGTGGCAGAAAATGCCATTAGAAGCAGCATGTAGAGATGAGACTTTTATTGTTAGCCCCATGAGCCTCCAAGCAGCATGTCTCATTACTAGTAAGGAATATGCCAAAAGCATGTTTGCCATGGAATTGATGTCGGAATTTGGCTCCATCCTTCACCTTGTCAGCCCGGCCCAGCCTCTGCTCACACAGCTCACACTTCATCTCCAGTTCCTCCTTCTTGGCGATGCAGCTCCTGTACTTGGCCTGCAGGGTGGCAATGCCATCCTCCACTTCTCTCAGGCGGTCCTTGGCTTCATCAAGGATCTTCTGAGTGACCTGCAGGTCCTCTTCTGCCTCCCGCAAGGCTTGCTGTGAAAATAGAAGATGCATTGGAACTCCAGATCAGACTTCCACCAAGGGAGAGGGCTTAGAGCTGGACTATATTCATAAGAAACTACCTAGGCTATTCATGCTATGCAGTCAGAATTCAGCACCCCCACCCCTGAATGCTACTGCTTTCCCACTATCCCATCTCCAAGGTACCGTGGGCCTTGGCTTATCCAACCCATAGCTTAATTCATCACTGCCTTGGCCAAGCTACTTGGGCTAATAGGGTGTTTAACATTAAGAACCTACTTTAGTGTTTAGGCACCCAAATAAACAGCCTGAGGTTCAAAGATGCTGAGCATTCCCAGGTGTCTCTGAAACCACTGGGGGAAAGAGCTGGGGGCCCAATATCTTTCAGGGTCAGGTCTATCAAGATTAACCACTGGCTGCTAGGAACCTGATTTGCTGTTAGTAGTAGCAGCCACAGACGTGAGTTAAGCACTGTTATTTACTGTTATCCCCCCCCCCCCCAAATCCTGACTCTGCAGAGAAAACAGACTATACACAATGGTGACAAATAGACGTTTGGGGAGCTCTAACCAGGAAACACAGCACTAAGACCTCTCCAAGGGCAATAAGGTGCTTGAAAATGATAGTATTCCACAGGAACTAAAATAATAATAATACAACGGTAGCACTTTCCATGTTCAAAACACTACACAAATATCAACTAATCACTCCTCAAACTCCCCTAGAGACAGGTGAATATTATTGCCCCTTGATATATAGGGAAACTGAAGCAGATACATGGTGACTTGCCCAAGCTCACAAAAGAATTGCTGTCTGAGCCAGGATTAGAATTAAAGTTTAACCCCCTAGACCACAATTGTCTCTAAACCACAGACTTACATTTTACCTTCTGTACAAAAAATCCAGTGACAAATATGGCATCTAAACTTTCCCCCGCATCGCACAAGGGCCCTGTGCCCTTACCCCCTTCTAGAGTGCATGTGCTGAGGAGGGGAAGGTAGGCCCTCTGTGGGAACACAGCAAAGTCTGCCTCGCCACCAAACACTTAATCATAAAATGCAATAGTCTAAACCCACATCAACTCTTTACCCCTGAAAAAAGCCACCAGCTGGTTCTTACAGCTAGAGGGAGACATGGGCCAGCTCCTCAGCTGCTGTAAATCAGAGCTACGCAGAGCTACACCAGCTGAGGATCCAGCTTAGACACTCTTGGATCATTGCTTGACAACCTCCAAAGGGGTGGAACTTGGGATGGGGGAGGGGGGCAAAGTTTCTGGAGTAACCTTGCAAACTCTCTAGCTGGCCTAGACGTGTAATTATTTTGACAAGCAAATGAAAGATCACTGGTGTTCTTCGCTGCCATCACAGGAGGATGGAGGAGTAGATTTGTGCGGCGATGCGATGATTTTATAACTTTTTTTCAATTCCCATCCAACTACCTGCTCAGTCTCCAGATGGCTACTGCAGCTAGGGTGACCAGATGTCCCGATTTTATAGGGACAGTCCCGATTTTTGGGGCTTTTTCTTATATAGGCTCCTATTACCCCCCACCCCCGTCCTGATTTTTCACATTTGCTGTCTGGTCACCCTAACTGCAGCCCACAAGCCAAGTAGTAAAGCAGGATTCAGGGGCTACCTCCTCAGTGGGTGTAAATCAGCACTGCTCTGACTTCAGTGGAGCCATGTTGATTGACACCCAGCTGAGGAGCTGGCCCGGGTTGCATTCCCCTTCCTCCCTGCCCCCCACCCCCAGTAGAGAGCATTAAGTTAAAATACAAGTGGGATATGGGGAGCTCCTCTAAATACAGTTTGCACTGGTCAAAGTATTAGTTTTGGGGATGTTTGGGATAAGGGATTTTGCTGGGATTGCTATATTCCTCCAGAGGGCCTGTTCTGGGCTAACATTTCATACCTGGTTCCCCGCGCTTGGGCTCAGACTCTTTGTTCTGTTCATTTTTAAATACTCTCTGGTCTCTCCCACGTGGCTGGCAGTTTTCACTACCTCCCACCAGGAAGGGCTGTAAGTCCCATTCACTTTAATGGAAAAGCCACACCCCTGAGCAATGCAGATTCACTGACCTAAACGCTGGTGTAGACAGCGCTATGTGGCTCAGAGGACTTCTCCTGTCAACACAGCTACCGCCTCTCAGGGAGCTGGAGTACCTCCACCCATCAGCATATGTAGCATCTTCACTACACTCTACAGCAGCACAGCTGCAGGGGTACAGCGCTGTAAATGTAAGCAAGCCCTTATTCCAGGCTCACCAGGTGCCATGTACCCCAGTGTGTCACACACAAGCAATGCTCTTACCCGCTTTGGTTCCACTCCTTTGGCCACAAAGTGGTATTTGTGCATGGCACGCACCCACTGGCAGATGGAGGTGCAGGCTTTGGACACTTTGGCTATGGCTGCTGGTTGAAACTCCTCGTTGTCAATATACGGCTGGATGGCTTTAATTACTGAATCTGCAATGTTGTCCTGGAAGGAATGATGGGGGGGGGGGGAGTGAGAGATGGTGAGCAAAGGGCTGAGAGCATTAGGGGGCCAGTGGGAGATCTCGCAGTGAGAGAGTGAAGGGCTTAGAGTGCTATGAGCATGACAGTGTGAAATCCCATGCTGCTGTTGTGTGAAACAGTCTGTGTGCTGCCCCTCTTTCCATGCTGGTGCCCTTCCCTCACTTATTATTTGGATGAAGGTGAATCAGTCTTTGTTTATTCAGTCTTTGTGGCTGCAGAAAAATAATCTTGTGGTTAAGCAGGTTTTTGTAGAACAGGAAAATCTGGCTAAAATAATTGTGTTTCTCTTTATCTTTGTGTTATCCTAGTCCTGATCACAAGCCCTGTAAGTGAATGTCTTTCCTTGCTATGTCGGGTACTAAATGCAGGCCAGTTCAAACAGGGCTGCAAGCATCTCCCGTATCCTCAGACACAGTCCTCACTGACCTTTCTTCACCCTCTAATTCCCGCATTCCTGCCAGACCACAGCAAGTGCTACAGTTATCCTCCCACCAGGAAAGGGAACACATGGACTCCTATTATGTCACTGCTGCTGATTGAACCAGCTAACCAGAAACCTGGGGGTAGTGAGCAGATAATCATCCTCCTGCTAGACCCCAAGAAAGCTATGGAATCTCAGCTCCACTTGCTATGTAGTGAGAGGTCCAAGACTGCTTGTGAGCCCGGACTTCCCAAGCACTGCAGCCACTGGGTTCTGGGCTGGACAGTTATGCTTCTGTGGTGTTGCTGACACTTAAGAGCTTTACAAAATAAATTGTTGCAGCACAGAGGCATGATGGCTCCTTGTTCATCTCTGTAGCGGGGTGGTCTCCTGCTCCTGCCCTGAAGGGCTTAAAACAGCCCTGGGAGAGGGCTGTGGCAGGGGAAAAGCTGGGCTGAGTGGGGAAGCAGCCACAGCCTGGCCTCGCCCCAATCAGGCACAGCTGGCCATATAAAAGGCTGTGAGCCAGGGAGGGGAGGACCTGGCTGTCTGGGAACTGAAAGATACTGGAGTAGAGCAGTGCTGGGGAACTCCTGCTTGGAAAACCCCCATGCTGCAGGCCTTGTCTAAGGCCAAATAGGTACTGGGGGTGCAGCCTGGGGGTAGGCGGAGGCAGCAGGTTCAAACTCCCCTTGCTGATGATGAGTGGTTTATAGACTGCAGTCTGCCCCAGTGTGCTGGGGCTAGATGAGGACTGGCAGTGAACACTGAGGCAAGGTGGGGATAGAGGGTGGGGATTCCCCTGGGAGGGGAGCCCAGAGAGTGGGGGTACTGCCAGGAGGCAGCACCCAAGCTAAAGGGGCACTGGGGTCTGGGAGGGACACAGGGGCCAGCGACAAGTGGGACATTGGCCTGCAGAGGGTGCCCCAAAGGCTGGACAAGCTAATTCCCTGGATGACCTGCAGGAGGTGCTGCAGGATGAGTCCTGCATCGCTACAATCTCCTTGTGCAAGACTAGGGAACCACCTTTCTAGAACTGCAGTTGTGTGTGCTCCAACGCTGCTCCTGAGCAAGGCAAGGAGAGAATCAGAAGGGGGAAATTTATTATGTCTTTAATAATTTCTTGTTGCCCAAGGTGATCAAACAACAAAACCATGCAAGAACCACTGATTATCTAGCAAAAGTGAATCCCCACCCTAGGCCATGTACCCTAGCATCCCCTTCACACTCCTTAAAATGTACTGCCCTTAGTGGCTTCTGGGCTGAAAGTTGGCTCCAATTATCTGTTTCTGGCATAATACCATCACCCATAACATCAGCTCATTACCTGTAGGCCTAGCACATCCCTTCTCACTTTTGGGGCACTCAAGGGTGGACAGATCCCTGAATTCCAATTACATGACCATCCTTCTGCCATTACTTACCTTATCAAATTTAAACAGGCTTTCCAGGAACTTCCCTGGGTCCTGAAGAAGGCCCTTGCCCGGCTCCCAGTAGTCATCCACCTTAGAGCCTGGCTTGTCTCCAGCCACTTTCTTGGGCTTGATTCCTTTCATAATACAGACAGCTTCAATCACCATCTTCACCCCAAGGGGAGGTCTCTGCATAGCTCGCACCTAGAAAAAATAAGTGTCCGTGTAAGACGGGGAGTTGGTCAACACAGCCCTTAACCTGATTTTCTGCACTGCAGATTGGCAACTATTGCATGCCAAAAATAGATGGTGCTGATGCCACATAAGGGCTGAGCAATTAAGCACTAGGAGCTTTAACTCTGTCTCCTTGTGTGTAGGCCTAAAAAGGTGGTCTCTGTTTATATGGTCCCTGTGTTTGAAGAAGGGTCTTCTTCACAGGGGTGGTGAGGGTCCCTTCATGGCACCAATGTGGAGATGTAACTCCTTCCCTTAGCACTAGGGAACACCAGTTTGCCCAGCCCAGCTTTTGACACAGGAAGGGGACTGAATCCTGTATTATTGTCATATACTATCCAAAGTGGAATTTCTTACCACAACCTTCCATACAGTGCATGTAGAGGGGTGGAGAAACTTGCCCAAGGCCACAGAGTCAGTCAGTGGCACAGCCAGGAACCACATCCAGGGAAACACCAAGTTCTCTGTTCAGATTGCCAGACACCACTTCCCCCATGATGGTGAACTTTACAATGTCCCTTTAAATCTGGGTTTGCTGATTCTCAACAGTGTAAGAGTTGATTGTCTCTGTTTTTACTCACGAAAGCTTATGCCCAAATAAATCTGTTAGTCTTTAAGGTGCCACCAGATTCCTTGCTGTTTTTGTAGATACAGACTAACACGGCTACCCCCTGATACTTGTCTGTATCACTGTTATAGCCATTCCCCCAACTCAGGATCTCTCACCCATGTGCTGACTTGTGTTTAACATACAAGCAGATTTTATGCCATGCATACTGGTCATTCGTACACTCTGTAAAATAGCGACGTGAGGCACATGATATCACTAGCTAGTGATCTCAGTGGTGTGTGAGGTGGGATATAATCTAACTACTGCCTATACCTAATCAGAACCTTAGCATGCATGTTATGATTTCTTACCCCTATGTAATTATCCTTCCTTTTTATTCAGGCTACACAGTCTGTCTTACAGGGTTTGGGGTTTCTGCTTTGTCATTCTTTCAGTGCTAAGGCCATGAGCAAAATTATTACTGAATACAATGATTGGTAAAGCATCTCACCTGAACCAGCAGGTGTGGCTTCTGATCCAGGAGAGGGGGTTGGGGGCTCTCATGGCTACAGGTGAAATCAGCATGATTGATGAGGAAAGACTCATTTAAGTGAGGCCTTCAAATGCTGGTAGATTTAAGTAGGAACGATAGTGCTGGTGAGTATTACCAGGAGCCTGTCCTTGATCCTTTGGGATGGGTATCTCTCCACTTTCCTTAGGGCTGTAAATGCTACTGCGCGGTAGCTACATGATCTGCCTTCATTAGAAAACCCCTGGATCCCACACAGACCTGGTGTGTTCAGATGGGTTCAGCCAATAGGCCTGAGACAATGGGCAGTGAGGGTGGGTTCACTGCTTGACTCCCTGGGTTTTCCTATTGATCTCTTGCTGCCCTGGTGGGGGGGTTGGTTAGCTGGAAGATGTGCCCTGAACTCAGGGCTTTGTCTTCAGAGCTGGAGAAGAGACTGATTGGAGTCCTCCCCGGAGCTGAAGCCAGAGAGTGCTGCACAGGGTAGATCTGGTGGCTGCTGAGCAGAGCTGTGGGAGTGTTGTGCCTCCATGGGGGGACAACAGAAATACACCATGTCTTTTGTTTTTTTTCAGCATTAACTACTCTTGCCATGTTCACCCGGAGACGCTCCAGGGGCTTCTTACTGGACACGGTCAACAGAGGGGCAGAGTTCGTGGAGACCCTGAAGACTGTCTACCCCATGGCTGATGCCCTTCACGAGAAGGACTTTGACTGGCTCTTTGACTGTCCCGAGACGGAGCAGTTCCTTGAGTGGTTCTGTAACACAGTGGGGGAGGAAAACGTACTGAGTCCTGGGGAAGTGGAAGCCTATCAGACCCTGCTCAGTTCAGGGAAGCCTATTCTGGAAGGTGAAGCCCTAGAGCAGGTGCTGCAAACCTGCCGCCAATGCCCGCAGCTGAAGGGTGCCATGTCAGAGGATGAGGCTCTGCCCCTAGAGGCACTGGAGCGAGAGGCACAGGCATTGCATAGCCATAGAGCCTGCCAGCTGCGACGGCGCAACAAGCTCCAGATCCGTGCAGCTAGCCTGAAGCAGGAGCTGTGCCACTTGGCAGACAAGGAAAGGAAGGTGGGCCGGGTGCTGAGGAAGGCCCAGCTGGACTTAGAGATGGAGAATGCTCAAACCAACAGTGTTCTGAGCCAGGTCTGCAAGGCAGCAAACCAGCTGGCGGAGTGGTACAGGGAAGCTGGGAATGGGAGGCTTCTGGTGCTGATGTCTGAAGCAGATCTGGGGCACTACATGGAGCTGGAGGAGCTGGCCACAAGGGCTTTAGTGGCATTCATCCAGAAGGCACTGCCAGGCACCACCCAGGCTCCAGATGCTGAGGGGGCAGGCTTACAGAGAGTGAAGAGACAGGGAAGCTCCCAAGCAAAGCCGGATACTCAGGCCCTGGCAGGGTTAGCTCAGACTGTGCTGCCAGAGAACATTGGGAGTCTCAATGAGTGTGAGGCGGATCCCAAAGTGGGTGTAGAGACCCAGGAGGAACTGGTCAGGGAGACAGTGGCAGGGGTCCCCCAGAAATCCTTGCCAGAAGAGGACAACCGCTCCAAAGCAGAGGTTGCGGGTGTGGAAGCCCTATATGGTCAGGACAGCTGCCAGGAAATGATGAAGGGACTAGCAGAAGCTGCCCACATAATGCTATTGGAGAGCATGGGGGGTCCTGAAGCCAAGCTCTTAGAGAGCCTAGGCAGCTACCAGGAGGAGCTGGAGCGCATGGCACTGGCTTACATCTGCAGCCAGAAAGAGCTAATCACCACCTCAGCAGAAGTTGACGGTATCTGGGCTGGACTGCAGTGGGCAGAGAGGGCCCTGAAGAGCAGCAAAGAGAACAAGGTAGGGGTCTTCTCCTCTCTCCCTGCTCCTGTCCTCCACCATTCCAGTAGCAGTGGCACATGGGCTGTGGGAAAGCCTCTGATTTAGGTGTGGGTAGGAGCCAGTATATATTACAAGGGGAGATAAAGCTCCACCCAGGACTGCTTCTGCAGAGTTCAGGAAGACCTTTCATATCTGTGAGTGCATGTCTCTTGGTTGTGCTCTGCTTTGCAGATGGTGGAGGATGAGCTCAGCCTTCACATAGCCACCTTCCAGGAGCAGCTGTGTGCCCTCCAAAGTGACATAGACCAGACCCAAACCCAACACCTTGTGCCCCTCCTTCAGGCCACTGCTCACCTCCTTCACTTGCCTGTCCTGCGTGCAGAGCTCGATGGGGAAGCAGTTCACCTTGGGTATACCACCTTGAAGCAGGAAGAGGTTGCGGGGCAGCTGATGGCCCAGCATAGCCGCCTGGAGCTGCTGGGGCTGCAAATGAAGCTGGAGAAGAAGGAGCAGCAGCAGGTGGGGACCTGTCTGGAAAAGATGTTAGCTGCCCTGCAGGAAGCCAGTGCCAATCTACAAGGGCGGCTCGCCTGCTTTGAGGATTCCAGCCTGTACATCAAGATCTGTCCACGCACTCTGATAGATCCCAGTGATGTCACCACCATATGGTAAAAATGGCTTTGCCTTGGAGTTGGGGAGGAGGCGTGATGCCCATCAGTGGGGGAGTAAGTCATAAATTATTAGAGACCTGGAGATGCTGCCATATGAAGAAATGTTTAGAAAACAGAAGGAGAAGAGGGGAGTATGATGGATCCAAAATAATGAATAGTCTAGAAAAGGCAAATCTATTGCTTCCTTTTCCCCTCTCATAATACAAGGCGAAGGGCCAGAAACTGGGTAGATAAGCTTCTTGTTTGACTTACCAGTCTTACAAAATGAAACTGTTCCTCTGCCAGGTTTGCACCAAAAATAGTCTCTAGCACCAATGATGCAGACATTTCAGCCAGATAGATGCAGAGCTGTGGGCATAGGGAGGAGCATGGACCTTCCACACCCATCTCCCTCCCTATGCATCAACAAGGGCATATGTTCAGCCATGCTCCAGGCAGTGGGTACTACAGCTATTTGGAACCCCTTTGCTGACACAGAAACTTCCTCTGTGGGCAGATAACCTGGTAATGGACAGTTGAAGTCTATGAAGCACCTGGTGAGGACTACTTAGTGACAAGACAATGGAGTGGATGGACCATGGTTCCGATCCAGTCTGGCAATCTCTAGGTGTGTGCCTGATTTCTTTTCATGGGCATTGAGAGATTGCACGTCCCCATTGAGATGAATGGGAGCAGCTCACTCGAAGCTGCTATCTTCTCGGTCTAGAGGTTCAGGCAGACCCTACTGCATCTGGGCACTCTCCTATTCACAACCATTAGAGCTAGTCACACTCTTTAAATGAAGGCTTAAATTCTGCAAAATCTGATGGGCTCCCAGAGATGTGGGGGTGCTAGCTCCATCCAGTCCCTAAGGGAATCATTGCTCCTTAGCTCTGGCTGTTGCCCTCACTCTGTGTTGTCTTTTTCCCCCTCTCTCAGGCTCTGGGAGATGCTGGAGAAGCAGGGCCAGGAGAAGCAACTCTTCCGCACCTACGAGACACTGGCAAGCCGTGGCTCGCGCCTGCGCCAGGAGCAGAGGATGCTGGAGGTGCAGCTTGCAGTGTCCCCAGCCCAGCTCCCCATGCTGGAGTCTGATGATGAGATGCTCTATAAGATGATGTATAGTGACTCCAATCAACTACTGCTGAATGCCCAGGTGTGCAAGGACCCCCAACCCCTGGGGTGGTGTCATCACTTGCTTTTCTTCTCCACATGGTCTCTCTGGAGGCCTTCTAAAATCATGTGACCTTGCCAGCCAATCAGCAGCCATGGGTCATGTTGCAGAGGTATCTGTATTTTGCCTGCAGCATCCCCTTTGGATTATAGGGGATCCTGATAGGCTGGTGTGGAGCTGCTTTCTCCTTCAGCTCCATGATTCATTAATGTAATGGCAGGAGGATTTTCCTTTCCTACACTTCCACAACACGGTTGTTTGGATTTTTCCCCATTCCCTGCAGGAGCTGGCTGAGCCTATGGAGCAACTCTGTGCCACACAGGCCAAACTCTATCAGATGTTGATGGACCTCCTGAGTGACTTGAAGGCCAAACGGAAATCCCTGCAGACCCACTTCCAGCGAACGGAGCGCAATCTCTATGTGCACTTCTTCCATAATGCCAACCGGCTGAGGGAGGTGGTGCAGCAGCTGGAGACACAGGCCTTAGCCTTCTCCTAGGGCTCAGCAATGGAACAACTCCACCCAGCACCCAAGGGAGCAGGTTGAGGAGATTTTTGCTGCCTGTTCTGGAAGTGTTTGCCCTAAAGGGTGGAGAATCGCAGAGATCCTTGCTATACTGATAAGTTACATATTACTTTGTCCTGTCCTCCTCCTCACAGTAAAAAGATCAAATCCCTCCCCCCCCCATGAGGCTTGTACCTGGGGTTGACACTGGGGTGGAAACCTGCCCCTACCATGTATAAAATCTGTGTCACTGAGGGTGGGTGGGTTTCTCATGGTGCACAGGCCACTGTGAAGAGAAGTTAACGCTCTTCCATGATTCACAGTGGGAAACCTCACAGAACTCTGCATTATGCCCACGGAGGCTGAGGGGTAGGAAGGGGAGTGCACTGTGTAGGCAGACCAGGGGAGGGGTGAGTGCCTGGAATTCTACACTCCTCACCCAGTGCGGTGGGCTAGAGCTGGCTGGAAGGATGGTGTGAGTGGGGCAGCAGTGGACAGGTAAAAAATAAAGGCATGTTTCATGGTATTTTTCCGAATGAGATATTGATTCATAATCATAGGGCAGGGGCATGTGTGCATCTGTCTCTGTCCTTTCTGGTTCCATCTGTCTCATCTCGCCTGCTGCTCCAAACCCAACCCTGTGAAGGAAAAGGGGAGCTTGTTTTCCAAGGCCATCTGCTAAAGACCTCCTTCCTGTACTGCTCCAGAGCTGAAATGTGTGGCTTAGCTCAGAGCTTTTTTGACGGTGGGCTTGCTTGGCACTGCTCACCTACTGAAATCAGGAACGGGCCTCCTTTCTTCGTGGTTAACTCTAAAGCAAAGACACTTATTAAATTCCATTAAACCACGCTAATTCTGTTCACTTCCTCCCTTTTTTAAAAAGATATTTAGTGTCCAGCCTCTCAAGCCTGCATCTACACTGAAGTCCTCTCTGGCCAGAGAAGAGAGAGAGCTCCTGTAGCAGCAGTGCAAGCTACATTAAGCTGCCCTGCCATTAAACCTCCAAACCTGATCTAACCAGCCTATTATACCATGATGGTGTGGACAGTTGGCATCTGCTCACAATAACACATCATCCCTGGTGTCCTATAGACAGCCTAAAAATACTGAAGGCAGACCAGCTAGCTGCATGTGCTGGCTAGGAGTGAGAGGACTGTGACTAAAGCTGTTATTTAATAGTCTGCATCTAGATTGTGCAAGTGATTGGACTGTTTAAGAGCCAGTTCTCCCTGCTGAGATAAGACCACTTGGATGTGTACAGGTAGCCAAAGCTATATGGCTGTTCATCACTTGCCTTAGGGGGTCAGGGGCTGCTGCTTGTCATGATGGTTAGAGATATCAGGGATGGTCAAGATAATACTTAGTCCTGCCATGAGTGCAGGGCACTGGACTAGATGACCTCTCGAGGTCCCTTCCAAAGTCCTATGATTCTCTGTGGATGCTGGTCCAGTTCCTAATGTCATTAGCTCACTTAGATCCATTTCGCAAAGCCACTAAAATGCTTTCACCTGGTAGCCAACTCTTTGATCACTGTTTGCCTGGGCAGGTTTTGAAATGGTGACTTCAATGTGACTGCTCCAAATCCCATTGTTAAGGCCCTACCAAATTCATGGCCCTGAAAAATGCGTCACGGACTGTGAAATCTGATATCTTCCCACCCCCGTGAAATCTGGTCCGTTGTCTGCTTTTACCCTATATTATACAGATTTAACGGGGGAGACCAGTGTTTCTCAAATTGGGGGTCCTGACGCAAAAGAGTTTTAGGGGGGGTTGTGGTATTGCCACCCTTACTTCTGCACTGCCTTCAGAGCTGGGTGGCTGGAGAGCAGAGTAGCAGCGCAGAAGTAAGGGTGGAAATATTTTTCCATACCACTCTTACTTCTGCGCTGCGGCTTTCAGAGCTGGGTGGCCAGAGAGTGGCGGCTGCTGACTGAGGGCCCAGCTCTGCAGGCAGCCGTCCAGAAGGATTGGCAATACCATACCATGGCAACCTTACTTCTGTGCTGCTGCTGGTGGCAGCTCTGCCTTCAGAGCTGAGCTCATGGGCAGCAGCCTCCAATCTTTGGCCAGCAGCAGTGCAGAAGTAAGGGTAGCAGTACCGCAACCCCTCCTACAATAACCTTGTGACCCGCCCACAACTCCTTTTTGGGTCAGGACCCCTACAATTACAACACTGTGACACTTCAGATTTAAATAGCTGAAGTCATGAAATTTATGATTTTTAAAATCCTACCACAGTGAAATTGACCAAAATGGACTGTAAATTTGGTAGGGCCCTACCCATTGTTATTCCCCTGGCTCATCTTTTCTAATGATATGGATTCACGTTAGTAAACATTACTGTGAAGCTGCTTGGCGTCTCAGCACGGTAAGGCTCTACAAAAATGTACTTTAAGATTTTTAAAGGACCAGGAATCCTGAATGCTAGAACCCAGTCATGGCTTCAGAAAGGAGATTGCAGATTTGTGCATATGTATGGATTCTCCTGCTAGTGTCCTTTACAGCTATGATGCAGCCTTGCTCCATAACACAGTGCCTAGGGGCACTCGTTGACACAGTGATTCAGAGAAGGCTGCACAAGAAAGACGTACTTACGAAAAGCATTAATTCCCTCCACCTTCTATTACCTCCGTGACATCATTTTTGTTAAGGTTTCTTAGGCTGGCTAGAGCAGCGTCCAGTGCAGGGAGAGCTTCTGCCAGGTCCTTCTGGGCATCGTCTGCAATGGCCTGGGCTGTCTGAGCTTTCACTTTGGCTTTCATCTCTTCGGCCTGCACAGCATTTCGAGTCTCCTCCGCCACGGCCGTGTCCACCTGCAGTGCCAGACACAGACTCAGAACAAGGGCACCGTTTTCCAAAGGCCTGAACTGATGCACCTGCGCTGCTTAGCTCAGGGCCTTGTTTTCATTGACAACATCCAGTGTTTCCGACTACAGTGTGTGTGTGTGATTGATGCCTGATGAAATCTGCACAGGGTACAAGATGAATTCTCCTACTCGAGCATCACAGACTCATAGTGGGATCTGAACGTCAGCATGGGAGTCTATTCTAGTTTGTGCATTGCTGCTAGCAGTACAGATTTTTCAGCTGACATTTATGTCACTGCTCTGTTGATGGATGAGCTGGAAGAGCCTCCAGCTCCCTCTCCCATAGTTGCTGCATTCGCTCTGCAGGCATAAACTGCAGTAAATGCTTATTTTTGGCAGCACAGTGAGCAGACATGAATTGGGACACACCTAAGTGACAGCTCTGAGTAACAAGCTGCTTCTTTTTTAAGTCACTTTTCTGACTGTACCTAGGCTTTTTAACAGCTTCAGTCTTGCATGGTTTAAAAAAACACTTGGGAAGTCCAAGAGGGGAAATGCAATGGAAACAGGGCCTTTCTTATGAGTGGATCAATTAAAGGAAGAGGTGTGGGGAAAATAAATAGATTGAAAATGACTGTCCCACAGGGCCACTATAGATCTAGGCTTGTTTGCAAACTTGAGCAGCTTATTACATGTGATCAGGCTGATTTACCATATCTTGCTGGGTATAGCCTTAGGCAAAATGAGACACAGCCACTTGAGGAGCACCTGTCTCTCTCAAAGAAAGGGAGAGCCACAATTACAGAGCTCAGCATCAATACCGGTCCTCCTGTAGAGGACAACCGTGAATTTCAAGGCTTCTAACTGTAAAGTGCCTGGCTCAGCATGGTTTTTACACATGGTCAAGGTCAAAAACACTTTATATGCTCTGTACCAAGCACTTGGGAATGCACTGATAGAATGCTCAAATGGCTGACTGTGCCCGACAATACACATTCAAATAATAAAGGATGTTTTTAAAAGGAACAGAAAGAATCCTGCTAATGGTATTAGATCATTACTAGACAGAAATGGGAGAATTATCAATAATAATACAGAAAAGGCAGAAGTGTTCAATCAATATTTCTATCTGTATTTGGGGAAAAACAGATGATGCAGTCTCATCATATGGCGATAACACTCTTTCCATTCCACTAGACGCTCTGGAGGATATTAAACAGAACCTACTAAAGATAGACATTTTTAAATCAGTAGGTCCAGATAACTTGTATCCAAGAATTTTAAAAGAGCTGACTGAGGAGCTCGCTGGACCACTAATGGTGATTTTCAGTAAGTCTTGGAGCACTGGGGGATTTCCAGAAGACTAGAAGAAAGCGAATATTGTGCCAATTTTTAAAATGGATAAACAGGATAACCCGGATAGTTATATGCCTGTGAGCCTGACATTGATCCCAGGCAAAATAATTAAGTGGCTGATACAGGACTCGATTAACAAAGAACTAAAGGAGGGTAATATAATTAATGCATATTAACAGGGGTTTATGGAAAATAGATCCTGTCAAATTAACTATCTTTTTTGGATGAGATTAGAAGTTTGGTTGAGAAAAGTAACAGTATTGATGTAATATACTTAGACTTCTGTAAGGTGTTTGACTTGGTACTGCATGACATTTTGATTAAAAAACTAGAATGATACAAAATTAATACGGCACACATTAAATGGATTAAAAACTGGCTAACTGATAGGTCTCAAAATGTAACTGTAAATGGGGAACAGGCAGTGACAGGTCTGTTTCTAATGGAGTCCCACAGGGATCAATTCTTCGCCCTATGTTGTTTAACTTCTTTATCAATGACCTGGAAGAAAACGTAATATCATAGTGATAAATATGCAGATGACACAAAAATTGGGAAAGTATTAAATAGTGAAGAGGCCAGGTCACTGATCCAGAGAGATCTAGATTGCTTGGATACAAATAAACAAATATGCATTTTAATACAGCTAAATATAAATGTATACATCTAGGAACAAAAACGGTAGGCCATATTTACAGGATGGCGGATTCTATCGTGGGAAGCAGTGACTCTGAAAAAGATTTGGGGGTTGTGGTGGATAATCAGCTGAACATGAGCTCCCTGTATGATGCTGTAGTCAAAGGAGTTAATGCGATTCTGGGATGCATAAATAGGGGAATCTCGAGTAGGAGTAGAGAGGTTATTTTACCTCTGTATTTGGCACTGGCGTGACTGCTGCTGAAATATTGTATCAGTTCTGGTGCCCACAATTCAAGAAGGCTGCTGATAAATTGGAGAGGGTTCAGAGAAGAGCCACAAGAATGATTAAAGGATTAGAAAACCTGCCTTATAGTGATAGACTCCAGGAGCTCAATCTATTTATCTTAACAAAGAGAATGTTAAGGGGTGACTCGATCACAGTCTGTAAGTACATACATGGGGAACAAATATTTTAAAATGGGCTCTTCCATCTCGCAGAGAACGGTCTAATGTGATCCAATGGCTGGAAGTTGAAGCTAGACAAACTCAGACTGGAAATAATGTGTACATTTTTAATGGTGAGAGTAATTAATCACTGAAACAATTTACCAAAGGTTGTGGCAATTTTGAAATGAATGCAGGATGTTTTTCTAAAAGCTCTGCTCTAAGAATTATTGTGGGTAAGTTCTCTGGTCTATGCTATATAGAAGTTCAGACTACATGATCACAATAGTCCCTTCTGGCCTTAGAAAAACTCCATACAGTAGGTTCTTTTGCACAGCTTCCCATGTCAATTACACCATGTTACAGGGAGTGGGGAGGGAGAAAGGAGAAGAATCTGTTTTTGAAGTGTAAAATACCCCACCTAACTTCGCCTGTGTCTTCTGCACCATTTGCTGGGGGAAAGGCTGTGTCTCTATATAAGCATCCTGTACCTTTATTTGTTCCATGGTTGCCAGTGTGTCTTTGGCTGCCTCTGCCAGAAGGGGACGTGCTGATTCTAGCTCTTCCTGCATCTTTGCTACATCTTCTGCTGTTCGCAGTAGCTAGAGGAAGCGAGAGCAATTCAGTCCCTTAGGTACCCTGTTCAGTGAATGCCAAGGTAATACGATGCCATAGCTTTTGAGAAGGTGAAGTGAAGGTCAGGAATACTGCCCCCAGGGATGGAATTGGCTGCATGGTGTCTGACAATGAGTGGGTGCTTGCAGGAGGCTCGCGAATGCCCTTTTTAATTAACAATCTTATTGTGAAATAACTTCACAGTATCTGACCGATGGGTCACGTTTTCAGCTCTAGGCACCTAGTGCTGCCTGCAAAATGGGTGCGATCCTGCTACACATATTCACATCTGTGTGGCACTATGAACATTTGTGTGAGCAACTGTCTGTTGCGCAGGTACACAACTTATGTGAAAAGGCCCTTATGAAAATTTGGGAAAACACACCTTGCAAGCAGTATTGCTCTCGGGAGCAGTAGCAATGAGCTGAAGCTGTGGTGGGGGATGTTTCTAGTCCAAATGCTGATCCTATTTTCAAGCCTACAGGACAAACGTGTGCTCGTGAAAGCTCAGAGTCTGCTTCAGGACAGTACAAAGTTTATACACACAGTGGTGGGGCGGGAGGACACAGGGCTAGATACTAGCTACCCCAAACAGCTGCACAGGGAGTGAATGGGAAAGGAAGGCCCCTTTTATGTTCTTCTTTTGTCCTTTCCACACAAAGTAAGCATAGCCAGAATGGATGTGCTTGCACTCCACATGAGCAAGGTAAGGGCACCCACAGTGTTAAACACCATGGCCAGGGGAGAACACACCACGTGTTAGCAAAAGTTTAGTAGTTGCCACAGCTACATGCAGTCCTCCCAGCAACAGCGGAGGCTGCTTTCCTCTCTAGGCAGAATAGCACATGGGCAGTAGCTGTCAGAGGCACACAGCCATGACCCCAGTAATATGGCTCGGGGTTCTCAAAAGGCACATTTGTGTCCTACAGTCATTCAAGTTCTGTTTTCAGTCCAGGTAATTCAGAACCAACTCTAAGCCTTAACACACACCCTTGTATGCATCCTAGATGGGTCACTGGCAGATAGGATTGAACCCAGGGGCCTCTGGATCTAAAAACATGAGCCCCTACTACCTGAGCTGAAGAACCAGCTTAGTGGCTGTAGCAGGCTCATATAACCTCTATGGGGACTAGCCACTAGAGGAGAGGGGGAAAGTCCCACGCTATATTAGCATGAGCTAGATGTAGATGTTTTCTCTCATTGCATAACTATGAGTAAACAGCAGTGTGGCAGCTTGCGGGGTGGGGGATATCACTGCAGGATCTTTAGCTGTAAAGCAGGGCCGGCTCTAACTTTTTTGCTGCCCCAAGCAGCAAAAAAAAGCGCCGCCCCCCGAGCCCCCTCCGCCGAGCGCTGCGCCGCCGGAACACCCCCCGAGCGCCGCGCCGCCCCCCCCCGCCGAGCGCCGCGCCGCCGGAGCCCGCCCCCCCCGCCGAGCGCCGCCGGAA